CTTCTTCCCATTTTTAAAATAAGCTGAAAAGGTTGGGTCATTGGGTCAGTGGCTTATCTGTTTATATAAAATTTCTTCACCAAGGTTGAGACAGAGAAAAAGGGTTTTTCTTAAATATGATACAATATTTAACACAACATTTTAGATGGTCTTTGTCCATTAGACAAAGGCCATGGTGGGTAAAAAAAAATCTAAATTCTTACATTGCTTATTACATTTGGTGTGCTTGGTCCTTTATATTTTAATATTTTTTTAATATATTTGTATTGCTTTCAGAGAGGGAGAGAGATAGAAACATCACCGATGAGAGAGAATCAGTGATCGGCTGCCTCCTGCACACCCCACACTGGGGATTGAGCCCACAACCCAAGCATGTGTGCTGACCCGGAAAAACTGTGACCTCCTGGTTCATGAGTCAGTGCTCAACCACTGAGCAACACTGGCCAGGAGGTCCCTTATATTTTAAAACTAGACTGATTTAAATTTGCTATTTGAGCTTTTATCACAATGAGTAGTCTATTCTCGCTCACTCTTGGACTGACTTTTCTTTGGCTATGGTGTCTTTGCTCACAGTGTAAAGGAGAAGTACAGAAAGAGAGAGGACATGAAAGAGTCAGAAAAGTTTCTGAACCAAGTTTTCCTCGCCCAGGTCCAAGGGTTGTGTCAGAACCGCAGAGACAGTGGCTTCTATGTCAGGCGCCCCATCGTGTCCCCGAGTAGCGTGGAGCTGTCCTGACACGCTCTGTGATACTCGGGTGGGTTTTGAGAGGTTGTCCCTAACCAGCCTGTTTTGTCTCCTTCACCAGGTGGCCCACTGCTCTTGCCACCATTCCCCATACACGTTCCTGTGCATTTCCGCTCCATTGTCTTCCTTGAGCTAGGTCCCCACCCGAACCTCTGCCTGGGGAAGCCCAGCCATCCCTCCAGGCCCTTCCAGCTGCTGCTCCCTCTGCCTCCTCCACCGATTGCCTCCCCAGCTTAGGTCTCGGGGTGGCTTTACTGCTCCGCAGATACGTGCTTTTCCTCTGTTTGTATCGGCGAGATTGTAAGTTCCTGGAGAGAGATTGTGCGAGTGCATCACACGGTGTCAGGCTGAGGGGGTGTGCCTTGGGGCGGTTCCTTGGTAACCTCTCTTCTCCCACTCCCCAGGACCGGCTTTAATTTTGGGATAATCACACCAACACCGTCTTCCACCTTCGCTGCCACACAAGGTACCGTCTCTGCTGTTCAGCATGACCGTTGTGTTCCCCTGGGCGCGGGCAGCGTTCTGACAGATGTGTTGGCCTTTTACTTGCTGCCGAGTCCTGCCTAGAGCATTTGCGTGCGTGTGGTGGTGTTCTCCCTTAGAGCCGGCTGGTCCTTAGCTAGCTCTGCCAGGGATGTTCCCGAGGGACGCGCACGTGGGAAAGTAAGGGGAGACGCCTCTTTATGTCTCTTGCGGGAGCATGTGTTAACTTCTTGCATTCTAGATATGGTGTATTTGTTGTGATTTCATGGTCACGAAAAGAATAGTTGTGCTTTTCACCCCAGTGAGATGGCCCAGACGGAGGGATCGTTCTGTCCTCCCCACTCAAGGCTGCTGTTGGGACCAGCCGTTCCTGACTGCATCGAGGGGGAGAGAGGCTGGCTTAGAAATAGTCAGCAGAGATTCGCCAGGTCAGATTCTGCTAAATCCAACTCCTCTCCTAATTTCTTTGTCTTACTAGGGGCAACACCCCCGGCTAAAGAGTCCAGCCAGCCGGACACATTCCCGTTTGGTGGGGGAGGCAAACCTTTCTCTGAGGCCGTCCCCGAAAGCACATCTCCCTCCACAGTGACAGCAGCGCCCACCACCACCGGGGCCGCCGGTGCTCCCGCAGGAGAGTCAGCCCCGCCGGGCAGCAGGCCTGCGGCCCCTCCTGGAATCACTCTCTCCACCCCTCCCAGCAAGTTGGAAGCGGTGCCATCTAAGGCAGGGGAGCTCCTCTTTCCACCTTCTCTGGCGGGCGAGACTCTGGGGAGTTTCTCAGGACTGCGGGTCGGCCAAGCAGATGACTCCACAAAGCCAGCCAGCAAGGCTCCCGCCACCAGCCTGAGTAGTGCACAACCAGCCAAGACTTCCCTCGTCTCCTCGGGGTTTAACTTTGGTGGCCCTGCCGCGGTGGGGAAGCCCGCGGAGCCTCCCTTGACCTCCTCTGTGACTGCCACCACGGTGGCACCAGCAGCCAGCACCAGCACCAGCAGTGCCTCCGCTGGTGTCTTCGGCAGTCTGCCCCTCACCAGCGCAGGCGCCTCGGGGGTCATCGGTTTTGGCGGGTTATCTCTGAGTGGCAGCAAGACTGGCTTTTCATTTGGAAGTCAGCCCACGAGTGGGACAGCGCCCCCATCTGCCCCACCACCGGCCACCACTGCCACTCCCCTTCCCACGTCATTCTCCGCCTTGTCGTTCGGTGGCCTCCTCAGCTCAGCATCTGCTCCCGCCCCGCCTGTGTCTTCTGCCACAAGCACAGAGGAGGTGACGTCCCCATCTTCGTCCGAGAAGCTAGGCACCAGTGAGGCCTCAGCATCAGCAGCCTCGCTTCCGGGGCCACAGCAGTCAGCGCCGCTTCCCCAGGCACCTCTGCCAACTCTCGACCCCGTGAAGAAGGAGCCTGTTCCTGCCCTTCCCACAGGCTGCAGCCTAGACCCCACGGCACCGAGTTCCAGTCTCCCAGCACCTTCTGCAGAGGCTGCGGCAGCAGCCACCGGAGTCCCTGACGTCAAGACTGAACCAGCTTCTCCTCCCTCCCTTTCAGTGCCTGGGCAGCCGGCTGTCACCGCAGCTCCAACCCCGAGTGCAGGCCCTGTGACCACAGAAGCACCAAGTCCCCCCCCGACCGCCAGTACTGCTGCCAGCGCTGCTCCAAGCCCCGCTGCGGACTCCGTGGCGTTTGGCACTGTCACTTCTGGTTCCTGTGTCTTCACTCAGCCACCAGCTGCAAGTTCTAGCTCTGCTTTCAGCCAGCTCACCGGCAGCACGGCCTCCACCCCCTCGGCCACCCCCGTGTTTGGGCAGGCGGCAGCCAGCACCACACCGAGCCTATTTGGGCAGCAGACGGCCAGCACAGCCAGCACAGCCACTGCTACGCCGCCAGCCAGCAGCTCGGGGTTCGGCAGCCCAGCTTTTGGCACCTCGGCCACAGGGGTCTTCGGGCAGACGGCCTTTGGGCAGGCCCCGGCCTTCGGGCAGTCGACAAGCAGCCCTGCCAGCAGCTTCTCCTTCAGTCAGCCTGGCTTCAGCTCCGGGTCCGCCTTTGGGCAGTCCGCGTCCTCCCCTTCCACGTCCACCAGCGGGAACGTCTTTGGTGCCTCTTCGAGCGCCAGTAGCTCCCTCTCTTTCTCCTTCGGCCAGTCTTCTGCCAACACCGGTGCGGGGGTGTTCGGCCAGAGCACTCCGCCTGCGTTTGGGCAGAGCCCAGGCTTTGGACAAGGAAGCTCTGTGTTTGGTAGCACCTCGGCCACGACCACGACAGCATCATCCTCTGGGTTTAGCTTTTGTCAAGCGTCAGGTAAGAATTTATGGAAGATTTTTATCTTATTCTCCTCTGTAGTATTTGAAATATTTGCAACAAACCAGTACTACCTTAGTAATTAAAGGGAAAACCAAAAAAACCCGAAGTCCAGAAGGGAGTGAGGGTGCTGTTGTCTAGGGAACGCCTTTGGCACGATCACTGTCGGTCCAGTTCTGCTTCTCAGCAAGTTCTCTCCTATCCTAGCCACCAGGGTGCCAATTTCATGGGTAAAAAAAAAAAAAAGCTTAAGGTCAGCAAGTAATGAGTCACTCAGAAATAGGAAATTTTTAAGTCAGAAGGCAGGCACTTTGGAGGTCATTATGCCCAAACTGTCAGGCGGTGGGCAGACGGATCCCTGCAGTGAGCGCTTGCAGACCAGCACTCGCTCCTCCAGGCCACGCCCTGCCGGCCGTCTGCTTCCTCCACTCAGTCTTCCCGCCAGAGGGCAGATACCCACATTTGAAAAGTTTGGTCTTTTCTGTTTTCAAAGTTGTAATTTTTTTAAAAAACCCAAATCTTAAAATATTTAAAAGTAAAACATAATCCTCCCTATTGCTTCTCTAATTTTAGCAGCTCCTTTTACTTCTAAAAGTCAGTAATAGGCAGACCAATTTGAAAATCTTTTCCTAAGCTTCTGATAGTTATCTTACGAAAGGCAGTTCTTCCTGGAGTAGGCTCTGGGGGGGAACAAGGATTGTTGATTTCTTGGTGGGCAGGAACTGCTAACTCATTCCTCTGGTGATGATTTATTTGAAAATGGTTCCTAGTTTTTTAGAAAGGAAATCTTTTCTTGTCTTTCTTCAACAAATGTCTGTTGATCTCCCACTACATTTGGCTACAAGGACACAGTGTGAAAGACAGTTTTAAAACCCGCCTGATGGCCTGTGAAGAGGCCAGGTGGCCGATGGGAGTGATGGGAAATGTGATAATGTGGCCTAGAGATGGGCAGGGAAGAGGCCCTGTGAGTCTCAGAGGGAGTTGGTGTTTAACACTATCTCTAGCGCATCCTTTGTTCAGTCAACACTTGAGAGTCCCTCATACACACTATGATCAAACTACCTCATCATGATCACAAACCTCTGAAGAAATCTTCTTTCACACAGTAGCTACGGATTGGTCCCTGGGCAGTCCCTCCACCCCGGGCAGGAAGGGAGACTGCCTGAGCTCCCCGCCTCGACCAAGGACAGAAATGAGAATGGAACTCCTGTACTCTACTCCTTATATAGCGCTGCCTGGTCTTCCCAGGCCCTGCTCAGCCCAGCCCCCACGTTGTGCCACTCCGAAGAAAGATAAACTGCCCGGGATGAGTCTGGTCTTTGAGGTTGGAGGAAACCAGGGAGCAGAAATCTTCATGACGTCCAGTCATTGGGAAGACTTGTTGGCAGTGAAGTCTAGGGAACAGCTGCTCTGAGGGTACCTTCTTGGTGCCTACCCCCTGGGTTTCAGTAGAAGGCAGGATTCAGCCCTTGAGACTTTGGAATTTATACTATTGTAAAGTGTTCGCAATGCAAAAAGATCCTTATGTACAAATCAGTTTCTTCATTTCCTAGATAGGAAGCCAGATTTTATTCATGGGTTGATTTATTGTTGGTTATCTTAGCATACCTAAAAGCCATTCTAAAAAACAAAACAGAACACTTTGATGTTGTAAAAGACTTCCAATTTAAAGTTTTTTTTTCTTTTTCTTTTACAGGTTTTGGGTCCAGTAATGCTGGTTCTTTGTTTGGTCAAGCAGCCAATACTAGTGGGACAGTGTTTGGCCAGGTAAATATGTATGTTCGCCCCTTTCATGTCAGCTACACCCACCCCGTCCTCGTCCCTGCATGTACTGTAGTCAGTCTGTGTTGCCCACCTAACCCTGGGAAGCAGCCTGTGTGCTTCTCAAGCCCCGCCTTCTTAGCTCACTTAGGGACACAGAAGTCTCAGCCTCTGATTCGAGAGAATCACCAGTTTTCATCCTTCTTTGAAAGCACATTGCCCGATTTCCATCCATCTTCCACCTGCTCTGTTAGGCCAGGGGTTGGCAAACGAGGGCCATGGATTAAACCCTCTCCTTGGCCTTGATTTTTGTTTTTTTGTGTGTATTTTTTAAGGTCATTGACCTAAGAACAGTTGTTACCTTTTCAAATGGTTACTTAAACAAAAAGAAGGAAAACATGCTCCTTCTGGTAACCTAAGCTAGTTCAGTTTGTACAGCTAGTGATTATCTGTGCTGGGCTTTATACAGTTGACTCCTGTGGTCATTAGTACTTCTGAAGGCACATGCTGTTACTGTCCTCACGTGACAGGTGAGGACACTGAGGACCCAGCGAGGCTGCTGCTTTTAGATCACTGCATCCGCATCAGGAGGCCTTCTGAGGAAAGGCACTCGGACCGATTGGAAATGACTGTGACTTTCTGAAGGGCGTTGTATTATCCATAGTTCATCAAGTGGTAGGCACATTCTTTGTTTTTGTACATCTTCAGTAAGAGATTTTCTGTATCGTCTTCTTCCTTTGAAGACGGAGTCCTTGCTCTAGTCTGGGATCCTTGGCAGAGAGAAGTGAAACCTCTAAGCTCCAGTTTCTGTGATGGTGGTTAGAGCATTCAAATCTCGCTCCCACAGAAAACAGCTAAAATACTGGGTGAAACCACAGTTTTTAAAACACTGAGAAGCTGACAGGGTGTTTTGCCACGTTAAGGAAAAAGGGCACCTCTGGAAGTGAGCACAGAACCCAGCTTTGCCCTGAGAGCATTTACTACTATAATTTGAATTTCCTATTTTCATAACTGGGAAGGGTACAGGAGCAGAAATCACTAACCAAGCTCTGCACAAAGTGAAAGGCCTCAGCATGCGGGTGGCCTGGCGTGGTCCTAAAAGGGTGGTGTCTGCAGGTGCCTGGCAGAGCAGCAGACACTGAAGAAAAGTAACTTTACTCTCGGCCTCAAATCATTAAATTTATTAAAGCACAGTTAGCATACAGTATTATATTAGTTTCAGGTACAGTTACAATATAGTGATTCAGCATTTGTCTATCTTACAATGTGCTCACCACACTGAGTCTAGAAACCATCTGTTACCACATAAACTTGTCACACTATTATTAGTTATATTCTCCTCATATCAGATAACTTCTAAGGGCACTGATTTCCATGCCTAAATTAGTCATAAAGGGAAGCAAGGAATTATGGTCAAGAATAAACATCAGACATACATTTGCAAAGACTTCCTAGACTGTAAAACAGCTGTGTTTTACATGTTTAAAAGAAATGCAAGACAAACTTGAAAGTACCAATAAAGAATAGGAAATTGCAAGAAGTGTCATAGCAGCTTTGAAAAAGAACCAAATAGAACTTACAGAAAAATATAACAAGTAAAATTTAATACCAACAGATGAGACCCAGGTGAAGAGAACAGTCATATACTAGACCAGGGGTCAGCAAACTTCTGTGAAGCACCAGGTAGTAAACATTTAGACTTTGAGGGCATGATACGTTTCCGTAAAGCTTCATTTACAAAAACATAACAGATTGGATTTGGCCTGTGAACTGTAGTTGACTGACCCTTGAACTAGAAGGTAAGTCAGATTAAGTTATCTGGTCTGCTTCATGGAGAACAAAGAAAAATGGAAGACGCAAAAGAAAGTAAAAATCCTAAAAGAGGAAATACAAAATACATTTAATCTGAAGGAAGAGAAAAAAGATACATGGTGATGGTGATATTAGAAGAGAAAAAGACAGAAATTTGAAAACAGTAAGCCACAGATTCAGAAGTCAAATGCCAACCAGAATGTATAAAAGAAAATGGATTCCAAGATCTATCATAGTTAAGCTGCAGAATTACAGAAATGTTAAAAATACTCAGAGACAAAAAGACAGGTTACTTTCAAAGGAGTTGGACTGACAGCTCACTTCTCGGCTGTGACAAAGCCAGAGACAGTCTACCTAGCAGAAAATATCTTTATAGGATGTCATGGAATCAGAGCATTTTTTCAGACAGACACTGAGAGAATCTATGCCTAGAAGGCTTCAAGGAAATTCTAAAGGAAATTAGGCAGAAGGAAAATCTGACCTCATTAAAATGACAACTTTCTTAATTTTAGTATAAAACAAGCCATGAACCAGGAAAATTGTAGCATATAGGACCAAAAGAATAATTGTATTCAGAACATATAAACAGTACAAGTCAAAAAGAAAAGACAACTATACCGCCACCAACATGGCTAAAATGGACAGGGCTGACAATACCCAGTGGTGGTGAAGGCGGAGAATGACCAGGAGCACCCACGTGTTGCTAACATGGGGTAAATTACCCTTTGAAAACCGCCTGGTAGTATCAAGATTAGATACACAAAATCCCTGTTGGGCCAGCAAATCCACTTCTAGGTGTGGAGCCGATGGGAATGAGTGCCTTTGTTCAGAGCATGTGGTTAGAATGTTCAGAGTGTATTCATAAATGCTACACATAGGAAACAGCCCCCATGCTTCTTGCTGGAGAATGGGTAGAGTCACTGTGGTGTGTTCATACTGTGGAGGCTGGAGAGCAGTAAAGACAAGTAGCGCTCCTGTACGAAACAAAGTGGGTGCAGAAGCCGGACTCGAGAGCACACACTGTTGGTACCCAGAGGCACTGAGGGCAGGGACTCCGCAATGGCCAGAAGGCAAAAACCACCCAAGTGTCCATCAACAGATGACTGGATAAACAATAAGACGATACATAGACAATGGAATATTACTCAACCTCCAAAAGGAATGCAGGTCTGATTCATATTACATGCGGTAGACCTTGACTGCATGATGCTAATTAAAATAAGCCCCTTCTAAAAGAACAAATGGTATAGGATTTGACTTATATTACATATTTAGGATCAGTTAATTAAAAAGTAATCACTTAAAATGACTACATAAATGGAGAATTATTGTTAGGAGTATAGAATTTCTGTTTGAGATGATGAAAAATTTCTAGAAATGGATAGTGGTGATGATTGCACAACACTGATTGTACTTAGTGCCAATGAGTTGTACTCTTAAAGTGGTAAGTTTTATAATATCTGTGTTTACCACAATAAAAAATAAACAAAGGAGCCAAAAAATTATTTTCAAAACAGAAAAAGAATAGGTAAATTCATAGAACCAGAAATTAGACTAGAGATTACCAATGGCCAAGGGAGGAAGGAGTAGGGGAGTCACTACTTAATGGTTACAGAATTATGGTTGTGGTGATGAGAAAATGTTGGAAATAAGTCATGGTGATGGTTGTACAGCATTGTGACTAATTAATGCCACTGAGTTGTATACTTTAACGTGGTTAAAATGGCAAGTTTTATGTTATATATATTTTCTGTCAAAGCCATCGAATTATGTACTGTAAATCAGTGAGTTTTGAGGTATATGAATTATATCCCAATAAAATTGTTTTGTTTTAAAGAAACAAATTAGGGTCTGAAAGATGGGCAGGGACAACAGTAATTTTTTGAGTAAAATGTCCCTGTCCACCCTCCCCCACTTCTGCTGAGAAAAAGGAAGTCAGGGTAGGACTAAAAAACAAAAGAACTTGCAGCCTTATACTCTCCTTTGCCTGGAATTGTTGAGCCCAAATGCTGCAGCCCAGCTGCCTCCTGGCCCCAGGCTCAACGCAAAATAAGACCCAGAGCCTAAGCCCTGAGCCAAGCCAGGGGCTTAGTGAGTCGGAATGATTGCCTCCTCACTTGAGGGTACAGAGGAAAAGGAGGGCTCCCTCTCTCCAGAAAAAGCATGAGATGTTCTTCAGTCACCACACACTGTGTCTTTTATGTACAAGATCAGTATACCGCCCCCTCCCCCAAATAACTGTAACTTATGAAGTAGCAAAAACAAAAAGAGAGTCATTTTGGAAATAGCAAGAAATAAACTATCGATGACCCAGACAATTGGGACTATCAGGCAGAGACTTTAAAATAGCTGTTGTACTCCAGGATTTACAAGAAAATAAACGGATGTTTGATTGGGCATCTCAGCAAAGGGGATAGAAAGCAGTGGTCTGTATCTGAAGTTTACATCTAATACCTGAAATATGTGATTGGGCAGGTTAACAGCAGAGTGACTACCACAGAAGAACAGGGCATTTGAAGACATGTCAACAGAAATTATCTAGCATGAAGCTCAGAGAGACTGGAAAAAAAAAAAAGAACACAGAGGCAACAGTATCAGGCAGTCCAATGTGTCTGTAATCAGAGTCCCAGAGAAGAGAAGACAGAATGGGACAGAAAAAAAAATATTTGAAGAAACTATGGCCAATCTTTTCCAAATTTGTTGAAAAATAGGAATCCACAAATCTAAGAAACTGTGAATCCCAAACAGAATAAATACCAGAAAACCACACCTAGACACATCATAGTTAAGTGTCTGAAAAACAATTTTTAAATTTGAAAGCAGCTAAAGAAAAAGAGGACATATAGGGAAACAATGGATTATGTGGCTCTGACGAGATACGAAATGTATGACAACCGTAGCAGCAGTGCCTTTGCAACCTCGGAGTAGGCCGGTGGCTCTCCAGCAGCACCAGCTCGCCCCCAGGGGAAGTTCACAAGCACAGTGTCTGGGCATGTTTGGTGCTCATGAGTGGGGGAGTCTCCTGGCATCTAGCGATGCTGCTCAACACCCCACAGCCTCCAGAACAAGGAATTACCCAGCCCAGATGTCAGCAGCGCCATGTGAGATGCCATGAGGTAGACAAAAATTTCTTAGATCACAGAACACACTAACCATAAAAGAAGAAAATGGAAAGACTGGACTTCAATAGAATTACAAACTAATGCTCATCAAAAAACTTGCCATAAAAAGGAAAAGGCAGGGCATAGACAGGAAGAAAATATAGTAGGTTTACAGTTTTCCATACGGGAAATAATACACTAATTAATAAATAATACAAGAGTAAACTTCTACGTGCTCACAACTGTAATATTACTTTTGCCCCACCCATGTGTAAAGAACTGTAAGTCAAAAATAAAAAGACAGCCCAGTTTTAAAGATGAACAAAATACTTGGACAGATACTTTACAAAAGAGGGTATGTGAGTGGCCCATAAGCACATGAACACTAGCTCAGCACTGTTAGTCATCAGAGAAATGCAAATTAAAACCACAGTGAGACACGCCCTCACACCCGCTAGAATGATTGAAATTTAAGAATAAACAGTCGCATGTGGAAGAGCGCTAGAGCAGCTAGCTCTCCGAATGCATTGCTGTGCGAGTGTGAAACCGCGTGGTCACTCTGGAGAGTCACCTGGCAGGTCCTTCATCAGTTAAATGTACACTAGTGTTATGGTTTAGCCATCCAGTCCTAGGTCTTTACCCAAAAGGAAAGAAAATACATGTTCACAAGAAGGCTTGTATAAGAATGTCCGTGGCAGCTTTGTTTATGGAGACAGCCCAGCTGTTCCTCTCCCGGAGGCAGCAGCACTGCGTCCTCTCCACAGAGCGCTCAGCTGCAGAGCGGGAAGGACTGTGCATGCGGCAGCGTGGGTGACCTCAGGAGACTATGCTGATTCCAGCAGGTCAGCTGGGCAAGAGGAGGACCTCACAGGCATCTGGATTGGAAAGGCAGCAGGGAGCCATTGCAGATCATGCGCTGGGGAAATCCTAAGGGATCCAGTGCAAAACTATGCGGACCATAAATGGGCTCAGTGAGTGTGTAGGACACAGGATCAATATATAAAAATCAGCCGAAACCGGTTTGGCTCAGTGGATAGAGCGTCGGCCTGCGGACTGAAGGGTCCCAGGTTCGATTCCGGTCAAGGGCATGTACCTGGGTTGCGGGCACATCTCCAGTGGGGGGTGTGCAGGGGGCAGCTGGTCGATGTTTCTCTCTCATCGATGTTTCTGACTATCTCTCTCCCTTCCTCTCTGTAGAGAATCGATAAAATATATTTTTAAAAAAACATATATATGTATGATATATCAGTTATTTTCCATATACTTGCATAGAACCATCTAAAAATTAAGAAAATTCCATTTCCAATAGCATCAAAAATTAAAATATTTAAAAATAAATCCAACAAAAGAAGTGCAAAACCTATTCTGAATATTATAAAACGTTGTTTAAAGGCATTCACGATGATATAAGTAAATGGAAGAACATCCCGTGATCGTGTATCAGAAGAGTTAGTATTGTTGCAGTGACAGTGCTTAGCGAGTAGATACAGAACCACAGCTGGCCGGGTTACCAGTCACCAGGAATTCCGTGTAAGACAGACCCAGGTGCCTGTTTCATAGAGGGATTCGGCCTTTATTTATTAACACTTTAATTTCAGGTTGTTTCAAAGACTACGAAAAGAATAAACCAGGGCAGCAAATCAGGAAAAACGGTTTGGAAATGTCTTCCTGAAGAATTCTCATGAATGTCTCTTACATTTGTTTCTTCGAATTAGAATCACATCATGTCCACACATTGAGATTGGTTTATA